TTTATTCTTCCAGTTAGGCCTCTTATGGATATTATAATCTGGTTTAAATAGCATATAGTCTCTTGTATTCTATAAATAAAATTTAAAACTATATATTAAAAAAAATCAGAGTTAAATTTAAAACCATTTCTAAAGGTTAAAATTTTTTGTTTTCATAAATTCTGTTTGGACATCTTAACGGTCATCATTAACTAGGTGCTCCTCACTTTTCGACTTGACCAGACTCAAAATAGATAAATAAATCATGCCTCACCATGGAGTATATATTTTATCGACCAAATCTTACAAAAAAATTTCGACAGACCATAGTTTGTTTGATCCTAATTCATCCCTCCTTGTTTGTGGCCATGTGCCAAACAAAGCAAATACTGAGTTGTTAATTTTTATTAATTTTGTCAATTATTTATATGAATTTTTTTTTTTTTTTTTGTTAAAAATTCTTGTTTTTTTTCCATGAAGTTTGGTTAAAAAACTTGTTTCCATGGAAAGGAAAAAAAAATATATATATTTTTTTTTTTTAATTGAACAGCCGTTCGAATTAATTCTGTTTTAATATGAGTTGGTGTAAAAAATTTTGAACCTGACTTTACCAATTATTTTTTCATATTTTTGCATTAGAAGCATTTGTTTATTTTCAAGATTATAAAAAATTTCTTTCTTTCGAGAAAAAACATATATCAGGTCATCCCATAAGTTCTGTCCGAATTTTGAATAAAGAAAACAAGTGACCAAATGTTACATTTAATTACAGATTCAATCAACAATGTATTTTCCCTGATTATCTATGACTTCCTTCCATCTATTAACAAGCTTACTAATTCCATTACTGTAAAATTCTTTTGGCTTTGATTCGAAGAACTCACAAATGTCAGTTTTTACCTCTTCCTGTGTTACAAAAGCTGTTTCTTCCAAATGATTCTGTAAGCTACGAAACAAATGGTAGTCTGAAGGAGCAAGATCGGGAGAATAAGGTGGATGAGGAATTTTCTCCCAACCAAGTTCTTCGATCTTTTGTGACGTGATTCTTGCTGTGTGGGGTCGCGCATTGTCCTGATGAAACATCACCTCTTTTCGATTCACTAGAGCAGGTCTTTTTTTTCCTCAAAGCTTGGTTCAAACGCTCTAATTGCTGACAGTATATTTGAGCATTAATTGTTGCATTAGGTGGTAAGAATTCAAAGTGGATTATTCCTTGGCGATCCCACCAGATTGAAAGAAGAACCTTTTGCCCATGAAGTTCCCTTCTCGGCTGTGGCTGGGGTCCTTCCCTTTACCAAGCCACTGTCTACGACGCTTAACATTTCGATAAAAGATCCATTTTTCGTCGCCAGTCACAAGTCTATCCAAAAAAGGTGAAACAAGTTGGCGAGAATGGAGAGAAGAGCAGATGTCAACTCGGATTTGAGGTTGTTTTCAGACAATTCATGAGGCACCCATTTTCCAAGTTTAGGAACTTTTCCAAGTTGTTGAAGATGACGATGAACAGTTGTATGGTTTGAACTGAGAACCACTGCCAATTCCTCAACTGATAAAGCAGGATTTTCTTCAAGGGCTGCTTCAAGAAGCTTTTCATCAAACTCAACTGGACGTCCGGTTCGATCTTCATCTTCAAGGGTGAAATCTCCACCTCTGAATTTTGCAAACCATCTTCTGCAAGTTCTTTCATTCACACATTCCTCTCCATAAACTGAGTGAATGTTTCTAGCCGCTTCGGCTGCTGAGTTTCCTTTCTTGAACTCATAAAGCATTATGTGCCTCAAATGATTCTTGGGTACTTCCATGTTAGCAGGGTTTTAATCAAACAAAATTTAATTTTATTGTTCTCTGAAATAAAATTTGATCAGTTTAAATGCATCTAAACATAAAAATAATGTTCAGCTCCATTAGACATTATAAAATACTCTTTAAATTTCGTTCATTTTAACAAAAAGTTAAAATTCGGACAGAACTTATGGGATGACCTGATATATATATTTTCATTGGAATTTAAAACATTTTAAATAAAAGTTATAATGTATATATCGATTTTTACATGTACGTTACATTTACCCAAAATAATTCATTATTACATTTCGTTTTCATTTTTTTAAAATTTGAAATAATGGATCCGTTCTCAAATTGGAAACAACCCATGACATCAATTCAAACGATCTGAATTAAAGATGCCCAAAATGGTTATTTTAAGTTAAATATCTCCTCAAACTATCCTCTATTTATATAAATAGAATAAGGCCAAACGGAGAATTGTCATTTATTGAACGCCAAGTCGTCACCTGACCAGTCGATTTGTTTGTTCCAAAATTCTCATCATCGCCGGTCAAATCCAAAAACCACCAGTCACGGTAAATGGATATTTATTAATGAGGCTTTTAATGGAAATAAATTGAAAATTCACCCCAGACCTCAAGTGGAATCTTGACATTAATTTTTTGCTAATGATTTTTGAAATATTTCTATTCCCTGTTTTTCAGTAAATAGCTATCTTTTCGTATCTTGGGTCATTTTCTTTTCAATATTTCATCAGGCTTTTAAGATGGATTTTCCCAGTTATATTTATCAGGAAGCTCCCCATCATCAATTTCTGGTTCAATAGAGTCAAAGGCCTTTTCATGTCCATATTAAAACTTAAATCTTTCCCCCTGTCGAAATGTTCTCAGATTTTAGGTCGGATGTTTTTATCTTTCAACTCTATCGTTTTTCATGGAAAGTGCCCTTCTGAGAATATTCCTTGGTTCCGCCATCTTCTAAAACATCAGCGGACGATTATCCCGCCATCCATTTAAGAAAATATTTGCAAATAATATCCTTCTTTCCAGTATTCCATCGACTAAAAGTAAAGAAATTCTTCAATATCTATCTTCTTTCAATAAAATCCCTTCAAGTGTCTCTAAAGATGATAAAATTCTCAATCACTACAATCTTTACCTGTTAAAAAGTCTGTTTATTTAAATTTAATTTTTATGTTTCCATCCAAAATAAATCTATCTTATAAATTAATCCATCTATCTTTATATATATTATTAATAGGTATTTATCTAGATTTATAACCCCATTGTGAAAAAATTTGATTGGAAAAATTTAAATCAGAAATTTGGAAAACAGAAAAAAATTTCAAACAATAAAACGTTCGATTGAAGCAGTAATTCAATATAAAAGATATCTTTTTTAAATTTTAATTATGCAAAAATTCAAAAAGAAAATATCAACATTGAAAATCCTTCTATATTTTTGAGATGAGTTATCCTAACTATTTAAACTATTTTCATCATCTTTATTGCTATATTCACGACGTTTCGGCTGTTGTAAGCTTCGGCCTTCTTCAGGATCTGTCTATATTTCTGAGATGAGACATTTTAACTATTTAAACTATTTACATCCTTTGGACTGTTGTCATCATCTTTATTGTCATATTAACGACGTTTCGGCTGTTGTAGGCTTCGGCCCTATTCTCATTCAGATTTATTCTTTATCTCTGATATAAATAGATTCATTTTAAATATTTTTTAACTATTTACATCGTTCGGACATATTGTCATCATCTTTATTGTCATATTCAAAAAAACTTTTGTAAAAACAATTCTTCAAAATCTGTTCTATTTCTATATTGTAACTATTTAAACTGTTTACATCCTTCGGACTCTTGTCATCATCTTTATTGCCATATTCACGACACATGTCCCAATTGTTTAAAATCAAATTGGTTGAAATAAATTGAATATTTTTTATTGCAAACGTTATTAGACCAATGTTCAATACCTTTACATTTGTATAACAAAACTTTAACATTGGTGTTAATATATTCTGGATATTTTAAACTGATATTGGGGTACCATATAGTTAATTGAATAAATTTGGAACATTTAATTCATTAAATGTGGATAAAATAAATTATTCGTAAATCTCTTCCATTCACCTGAATTTAAAATTAGAGTCCAACAGGCCGAAAAATAATATGACAAAAAGTTGAGGTTAAAAGTCCTGAAAAATTTTTCTTATTTTGGATTTAATGAAAAAATAATGACGTAATAATGTCGTTTTTGATGTATTTTTAACGTCAAAATTTAAAATTCTTCAAAATGTCAAAATTTGCAAGTAACTTTATATATATTCAGAATATTTAATATCAAATTCTTTAAAATAACATGTGTTAATGGTAAATTTAAATATAAATAACCAAAATTTTTTTTTAAATCTATATCCTATAGGAAGAGATATATATTTAATTATATATATATTTTTTTTCATATATACATTTTTAGCAATATTCATTAATATATATTAAGATGCAAGGAGGTTAATGGAAATTTAAATGAATAAAAAAAATATTTTCTAAAAAATAGGAAAAAAGGAATAATGAAAAAAACAATTTCAAATAAGCCAGAATATGGAGATTGATGTTGCATTTAAACTTTTTGAAGATTGCAATATGGCAAGAAACCGGATGTGCAATTCTTAAAACAATAAAATAAATTGTATTATTGTCAAACTTTATAATAAAATGACGTTTGTTGTACCGTTTTTTCATATTAAAATATACGTCAAAAATAAAACATTATTATATCATTATTTTATACCAACCTAATTTTTTTTTTGATATAAAAACATAACATGTTTATAATTCTCAAAATTATAAATAAAAATCATTTTTTTTAAACATATTTTAAAATTTATTTCCAAATTTTAAAAATACCTATTTAGACATAAACAAAAATTATGGGATTTAAAGAATGAAAAGACTTTAGTGAGGTGAAATAGACAAATAAGAAGAATATTCATTTTTTCTTATATGTAATCATTTTAAATTTTTGAATATTTCCTCTAATTAATTCAAATATAAAAATTATTAATATCTATCCATGTATATTTATCAAAATTTTACAAACATTTCTTTATAACAGGGCTATAAGGAATGAACTAAGTCTGTAATTACTATTTCGGACAATTAGGAATTTTAAATTGGATTAGCGTTCATCTATTCATATCTATTTGTTTGTGTATAGTGCCTGACAGCATATTTACATATGGTTTTTTTGTTTTCTATTCAACATTTGCACAAATTACATCTATATGTCTATCTTCACCTTTTCATATCTATCTATCTATCTATCTATCTATCTATCTATCTATCTATCTATCTATCTATTTCAAGTTTTGTTCATAATATCTATCTATCTATTTATCTATCTATTGTTCATATAATATCTTTCTTTCCGATTTTTCAAATTTTCTATATATCTATCTATCTATCTATCTATCTTCTATCTATCTATCTATCTATCTTTTTATTTTTCTTTCTTTTTTTTTCTTTCTTTCTTTTTTTCTTTCTTTTTTTTGTTCTATTTTATATGTTTATTTAATTATCTATCTATCTATCTATCTATCTATCTATCTATCTTTTTTTTTTTTTTCTTTTTTTCTTTTCATTTTTTCTTTTGAGATTTTCATTTCAAAAATTCATAATTCTATCTATCTATCTATCTATTTTATATATCTATCTATCTATCTATGTTCATAATATCTGTCAACCTCCGCTTTTTCAAATATATCTATCTATCTATCTATCTATCTATCTATCTATCTATCTATCTCCGCCTTTTCTTTCTTTTTTTCTTTTTTCTTTCTTTCTTTCTTTCTTTCTTTCTTTCTATTTCAGTCTGTTTATAATATCTATCTATCTATCTATCTATCTATCTATCTATCTATCTATCTATCTATCTATCTATCTTCTGTACATCATCAGCCTCTTATCAATATGTGAATCTTTTGTTTTTGAAATTCCGTCCCACGTTAAGCAGTGCCATTCTTGACAGGCTGTCAGACACGGTAATTAAAGAGATTTTGTTAATTTCAATAGTAAATGTTTATAAGGGAATGTAAGTCAACACATAAACTTAAAAAATTGCTCTTCTAAGCTTACAAATCTCAGACTGTTCTTTCTTTCTTTATTTACTATCTCAGTCTATTCGTATTTATGTATTACTTAAACGTTATTTTTAGTAGATGCTCGTGTTTTAGTAGACGTTTTGTTTTTTATTAAATCTGTATTTAAAGGCACAATTCATCTTGGCCGTCGACGCAATCGGTGACTGAGAGTTCCGAAGCGCGTAAAATCTATGAAGGTTTACCCTAGGGGAATGCAGGTTCGAATCCTGTCAGAGTTAGCATATTTTTCTCTAATAAGTTTACTCGAATAGTCGGGCCGGTAGACCAAAATAAATAAATATACTGTTTAATAAATAAACGGAGCGTCTACTCAAATACGATTATCTACTAAAAATGAGGTTTAAGTACTAAAAATCTGTCAGATTAATAAAAAAAAAATCCAAGCCTTTCTTTAAAAATAAATCTATCTATCTATCTATTTGTCATTTTCACATCCGTCCATCCGAGCCATTATCTATCTATCTATCTATCTATCTATCTATCTATCTATCACATCCGTCCATCCGAACCATTATCTATCTATCTATCTATCTATCTATCTATCTATCACATCCGTCCATCCGAACCATTATCTATCTATCTATCTATCTATATATCTATCTATCTATCTATGTCTGAGCATTGAATATTGCTCTCATATCTGATCTGGTCTACCTAATGTATATCTTGAGATTTTTGACAAAATTCAAAGAAGGGTCTGCAATGTTATTGATCCTGACCTGGTATCTCGACTTCAACGCCGTGTTTCGTTTTCCCTCTGCTTTTTTTTACGAATATCACTGGCAACTGTTCTTCCTGTGTTAATGTATATAAATAGACAAAACTCGGATATAAGAGAAACCCGGATATAAGAGACTTCTTCTCCGGTCCCAACAACTCTCTTATATCCGGGTTACACTGTAATAAAAAAAGCAAAGCATTGAAGCAATTGGCTTTCAGTTCGAACTGTATCGGTTATTAATCTACTATTGTTTACCATAGTATGTTATTGTTATTACGCAGAATTAACCAGAACCATTTTAATAATACATTTCTGGACTGTTGATTAATTGCTTTGTCTTATCGTTATTGCAAATAACTGTATAGTGACTTTATTGCCATTCTGTATTTTATTTGCTTAGTATTATTTTTTTTCCCTCTTCATTCCTTTTTTTATTGTTTATTGCAAACTTAGTCAATTTTGTTTGTTGGGTATTTCTGCCAATTACATTTAACTATAGCCAATTACTCTACAGGTCCGACAGGCCATGTACAATCGATCGATTCATCCTCATTCTCTTTGAATTCCATTGGTAAGAAGTAAGTTCGACTCGGATAGAATTTTCCAAAGAACTAGTACATTGTGGAAAAGATATTCTTCATGTTTCCCCAATGAATATTTTTTAAGCTCTTCGAGTTTATAGTCAAATATTATCTATCATACATGCACTTATAATTTTCACCTTCAACACTTTAATAAAACAATCTAATCCAGTAGCATTCTATCTTCAGTGGCTCTTGAGCCTTGTATTGAGTGAACGTTGGTATATTAAAAGAGATATAGGAGATTTATTTGATACATGTGGACAGGTAGATAGTTTATCAGAAGGGAAAATAATAATATTGCTGGTTCCAATATGATAAGGAATAATTGCAAAACATCCCCTACTCAAATTTATAGATAAAACATACAAATGCATGCTGGGATTTCTTCCAAGAGAATAAGATAAGTCCCTTCTTGGTCTCATCTTAGTTCTGTTCTTTCTTGTCTTGAATCAAGATGCTGCGATCGCTTGTCTGTATCCCTTTTGTGTGTCAGCACCATTCTTAGTTTTGTGAACCTTTTGCCTTATTACTGTGGCTTTGTCTTGCATCTATTGTATGTGCTGTAACCTAGAAAGGGTTACTAAATGAGGGATAACCAAAACGAAGGTTGGAAATGAAATGTTAATTCTTATAACATCAACAAAATACAATACTTGCCAGCGTCGTGAAGTAGGTAAACCACTGCCAGTGGTGGACTACTTAGACAGCATATTACCTTCACTTACAATTGTATCCACGTATTTATGAGGATTGGAACATACCCATTAGTGTTCATAGATAGGGTATATAACAGATAGATAGATAGATAGATAGATAGATAGATAGATAGATAGTGTTGTAACCTAGAAAGTGTTAGTGAATGAGAAATAACGAAAACGGAGGTTGGAAATGAAATGCCAATCTATATAACATCAACAAAATACAATACTCGCCAGCGGCGTCAAGTAGGTAAACCACTGCTAGTGGTGGACTACGTAGACACCATATTACCCACCATTTCCAATAGTATTCACGTATTTATGAGGATTGGAACATACCCATTAGTGTCCATAGGTACGATATATAACAGATAGAGATGAGATATGTAGTGTTGTAACCTAAAAAAAGGTTACTGAATGAAGTATAACGAAAAAGGAGGTTGGAAATGAAATTATAATAATAACATCAACAAAATACAATACTCGCCAGCGGCGTGAAGTTTCAAACCAGTCAAAGTGGTGGATTCAGATACACCATAATGCCCACATTTCCAATAGTGTCCATCTATTTCCCAGATTGGGTTATTAGTTTATTGTTCATAAATCATATATAAAAAGATGACTACATTATTAAAATATTTTCTGTTTTTTTCTTTTTCATTCTAAAAATTTTTAATTCTGTAAAATTTGTTAATTCTGTTTCTTGATTGATTTTTTATCCGCGATACATTTAACCATGGCCAATTGTCCCAGTCGGTGCCAGGGTCTCTTGAATATCCCATGAATAAAATTTTGATCTAAAATAAATAAAATGTATCTAAATAGAAATTAGAAACAATTTCATAATAGAAAATTCCATCTGAAATTTATTAACAATGAATTAGAAGTTTTGGAATCAACCTGATGATTTTTCTTGTTAAAAACTTTATATAAACAGATTTGACACAGTGTTCAACATTGGATAAAAATGTGAAATTTATATAAAGTTTTCGAAGGTAAAGAAGGAAATAAATTCAAAATTCGGACGAGAAAATTAAAAATCAATTATTAAAGACAAGATGTATGTTTGTCCATTAAAAGAGTTGTGCTTAACCTAATTTGTAACAAATTGGATATAACAAAATTAAACAAATGTGAGAATTTAAATAATTAGGATTTGTTTTTGCAGAGGATGAAAAATTTGACATTGGGAATTCTAAGGCATCCACTCTGATAGTCAAAATGCCTGGTTTATCTAAGCAAAATTATTAAGAAACAGAACAAAATAGATTCGGAAACGAAATGAGTTGAACTATCAAATAATTCTTAGTTTTCCTTCTGAATCTGACATCAAAACAGTGTCGTCTTCTTAGCTTAGGTTATTAGAATGAGGCCATTAATAAATATTGGTAAAAATCTAATCCTCTTATGAACCATCACGAAGTAGGCGTTAAATAAAACAAAAGAAACTTATCGATAGAAATACATGTTAACATAGTAATTTTCCACAATATTCACTCATTGATGCTTTATATATTTTTAAAATCAGTTTCAATTCGCATATCTCCCATGGTGGATTCAATATGTCTACCAGTGAAAAAAAAAAATTTATTCAGTTTTTTTTTTTTGAACCTTTTTTTTTAATATATTTTGATGACTGGAAATTCTGGTCCCAGTTGAGGTGTTGTTGTTTACGTGTAGAACGCAACGATGAAACTAACTTGTCCAATCAGAAATTTAAAAGACGGATCAATAGATTCTATTCATCTATTGCAGTTCCGTACATGTTACATTGATTTTTAACAAAATAAAATGACGTTAGCAAGAAAACCAACGAGAAAAAAGTTCCTTTTTCGAACGTACCATCTTGGTTTTGCAACGCCATATTTTCATGTCAAGATGTGAGTTCAACTAACAATTGAAGTCTTGCACTATGTGTTCGTAAAAGCATCATATTTTATCTAAAATTTGTAAGAATTTAAATCACCGAATTTTTTTTTTTTTTGCAGAATCGGACCCTGTCTTGTCGAAAATCTGTTCCGAATCGAAAAATAAAAAAAGAAATAAAACTAAAAAGCATAAATTACTTAGAGAAGCTTTTAATTGCTTTTTTATGAATAATATCTATTAAAACAATATTAACTGAAGAAAAAATTGTTTTCGATGAAAAATTAATTTTACAAGATTTGTTTTTACAGTTTTAAATTGAATAATTTATAAAAGATTTTAAATCTTTTAAAATTTAGTTTCAACGTGATAACTCTTAGAAAATGTTTTTATTAAGTAAAAATATTTACTAATCATATATTGTAAAGCTTATTACAATCTGACGATCCCGAATGTTTTTGAAAGAATTTCGATTTATTTTTGTATGCGTGTATACGTGCAGAGTTTATAAGTATGAATGTTCAAATCTATAATATTATCATTAAAAGGTCACATGTTTCAAAGAGTTGTCTACTCTTACGGGAAAGAACCCCCTCATATAAACTTTATTGTCTGAAGAACCATACTTAACTATGAACACGTTCGGCGGTCATTCGACTGTCAATAAATCAATTAGCAATGTTAGAAAAGAATTAACCGTGATTAAGAAATGCCTGTTTTATACTGTAGTAAAATTTGTCTCAAATGAGATTATTTAACTAAATTTGCTAATTTTCATAAAACTAATGTTTCAGAAATATATGTTTATATTTTTGTAAGATTTTTAAAAACCGAAATTGACCCCGGTTTACTTCGGTCAGAATGGCCATTTTATTTATTTTATTGAAAAAATAGATTCCACGATCAATATAATTTCTGTTTGAAATACACCACAGAGTATTTTGCATACACTGGAAATAGTAAATTTGAAATCCTTTTGCTTTCAATTAAAGCTAAACTGAAAGCTTCAAAAAACGTTTTGAATTTTTTAAAATCATTTAGACCTTACGTATACCGAATTAGTGGCGGTATCTAACTTTATATATATATATATATATATATATATATATATATATATGGTTGTGTGTGTGTGTGTGTGTGTGTGTGTGTGTGTCTGTAACAGAAATATAACTGAAATTAGGAAAGAACTCAAACATAGGTAAACAATTCAAGTTCTTTAGTATTTTTGTTCATATTTTTAAAGACCTGCTCATACAAAAGTAGAGCCTCTTGAAGATGGAACAGAGCTTGACTTTAATTCAATTTAATTCTAATAAATATATTGAAAAGATTTTCACTTGTTTTTTTTAACATAATGAACTCTTATGTAGCAAGGAATCATATTTCAAATAAATAATTATATATATATATATATATATATATATATATATATATATATATATATATATATATATGTATAGCCAGAGAGAGGAGGCACGGTTCCAATCATATCGAGGCTTATATGGGAATGGCAGAAAAGTTCGAATCCAATTGAATCCATTTAATATTCACTTCTATCTAAGGTGTGAATCCTCTTCTTCTCCCTCCAGCTATTCTTTGAATATTGCAGGACAGACTGGTTCTATAGCCTTGGATGTTCTTGGTATATATTTACAATTCTGAAAAAATCAAAACCTGAGGGGGGTTGTTTTGGAACTTGACCTGGCATCTAGTGTTCCAGGTTTCTTTATTCACCCCATCAAAAAGTTTGGATGGT